TTACTGAGATTTATGGCTGCCACAAATAAATGTTAAATTGGTCCAAACAAACAATCAAACAAAAAAATAAAAAGCTTTTAGAAGTGAGTCAGCACTGCTCCTGAAATCTCTGCCTTTTTATGTTTCCCACACACATTACATGGGTGGAAAATCACTTTGTTTTCTAATCTATCTGTTTGTTTTATCCACAAAAATGGCAAAAACCTGTAAATAAAAATCTAAGTAGCAAATTTAACTGTGAGATTAACAAAGTGATCTATTTTTTTATATATGTATTGCAGCAAAATCATTACTTAATGTAGGTTTAGAGTGTGAGCATACGTGTAAGCTCAAGATGACCATTGCTAAGAAAAGAAAGTGAATGAATAGTAATGAAGGTGAAATTATTGAAAGAACAGAAGTCAGGAACTGTAACTATGAAGGAAGCACAAACTGATGTTTACATTTATGAAAAATGTCTTCTGGGAAACTCTTAAAAAGTCTATTCTTAAATAAAGTGTTATCATAATGTTCTTTTTTGTCTGGTACCGAATACAATTAAATATACACAGGTAGACTCCTACCTGTTAGCATGTATTTGACCCAAATTATACACGTATAAACAATTATATGTGTTGGTAAAACTGATGAGGTTGTACCCTTTATGTCTCTCATTTCTTCTGAAATCTACTGTTTGGGACTTTTACAGTCGTTCATTTTTTATTACAAAGAATATATATATATTTGGTGAATATACAACATTTATTGAGACTGTCTACAGACAATAAATAAATAAATAAATAAATTCAGCTGTGTATTGAATTTTCTCTGCTTTATATGATACTCACTATGAGTAGGATTTTGGGGAAAAAATACATCTCCGTGGACAGAAAACTAATTACCAACTCAACTAGGCTTGATCAATTTACCTATGTGTGACAGGGTGTATAAAAGCCAACTTTCTTGAGGAAATGCAACTCATACAGACTCCTTTCTCTCTCTTTTTCTTGGCCTGTCCCCATCTAACAAATTTTGAGCCCACAATTGGAGAAACAGAGCTATCAGAGCTATTAAGTTCTGACAAGCTTCTTTTCAGAGAGCCTGTATTTATTACTCCAATGGCAGAAGTGAGCTCTGTATATGCTAGATACTTGGGAATGTACAGAAATGCTTATCTCCAAAACACAGCTTCTTAGGAAATTAGGCCTCACTGTCCCAGTGGTCTCGGAGTTACTAACTTTTATGTAAATGCATTAACATTTAGCTTGGATGATAGGAATCTACTGGATAAACAGTTTTACCCCAGGATGTGTTTTGTTTTGTTGTTTTGTTTTAAAGAAACATATGCACATCACCACACACGTCTCCATACAAGCATGCTCCAAGAGACCAAACCCTTTTGTTAGGTGAAGTCAGCCAAAGGAAAGTAGGAGGCCAATAAATAAGTCTCTCTGCCTGTCTTTGGAGAATAAATATGCTGAGGTCTGGGAACTCTCCAAACACCTGCACCTCTCTGTGTACAGTATCAGAAATGTGAACATCGACAGATATGGATCCTAAACCTGTAGTGAGATCTCTTCGGTAGAATGTGAACTGTCTTGGCATCACTCAGCCTATCCTTACCCTCCACCTCCATAGCTTTATATTCCACATGCATTTGGCTGATGCAAACTAGGATCAAGTGAAAGGATTTGTGTGTGTCCAGATTGGCTTCCTTTTCAAGCTCAGCAATGTGAGAAGCTACGGGAACCAGCCATGTGGTTGGTAGACATGAAAGCATTGAAGTCTGAGGCATCTGGCTCTTCACTGGCAGTGGACTATCAGCCAAAAACAGCAAACAAAAGAGACAGAGATGAAGTTGGTCAGCTCTTATTTCTCCACACAGAAAAGTGTAGCATGAAGAAAGGCTTGTGGCCATCCTACATTCAAATATTTTAGCTGGCAATGAGAGAAATCCTCCTCTGCTGTACCTCCCCCAGGACAACCATATGATGACTCACATTGCCTATTACACAGGTCCACAGGAGAGAGAAAGCACCCGTAAAGTTCATGATACGGAAAGTATCCGTATCATGAATTCCTCTTATACAGACTAAATGGAACCTTCTCACAAAAATTAATAATCTGACACACTGCCAGAATAAAAATTTATTCTGCCAGAATAAAAAATAAAAAAATAATCAATGTCATTTCAATTGGCTTGAAAAGTTTTGCTCAGTGGTTTGGTTTGGTTTCTCTTTAAAATTCATTTTAACTAAGGACAATTTTATGTTTCATTTGAATATTTATTTAATGGTTACTTTCAAAATGTTATTTGTATGTTTTTTATGAAACATTAATTGATTTACCAGAAAGTTAGGTCCATCTTTTTTCAGTCAGTTAAGAGTCATTTTATTTCACCATGCTTTCTCCATCCCTCAGGTCCAGCAGATATTTGATTAATCCCAAAAGACTGGGTTCCATGGAAGAAGTGGGAGTTACATTTTTCTCTTCTGTCTTGTAGCTTTGAGTTTCAGTTACCCTTCAGAGTTCTTTTTGTTCATTTGTTTGTTTGCTTGCTTTTGTTGTTGTTTTTGTTTTGTCTGAAAGAAGAAGACTTTGTTCCTGGATGTTACATTTCATGGTGTCTTTCCTGACACTTCCCTGAGCAAACAGAAGTCTATAAAGGGAGTTAACCGGGGCTTATGTCTAACTCTTTGACTGTAGCATTTTTTGCTGGTGAGCTCTCTTACCATCCACTGATGAGATGGTAACTCATCTCTGTCACCTGTTACAAATGTAAGGCAAAGAGAGAAAAAATATTTTTTTCATTGACATTCAAATGTTCCATCTCATGTTTGCCACAGAAGTTATTGGGTAGAGAGCACAGTTCCTCACAAGAAGTTGTAACATGCTTGACTATCCCATCTTCAGTTTTCTGTGGACAGAAACTACGTGGACAGAAACAACCAGCTCAAATTTCTCAACACTTTAAATTCTTAACTGTAGGATAAAGGCTCCTTGGTCAGTGCTGTGGATACTTTTAGGCTGCAATTTATCTAAAAGTTAGGAACCTTCATGAATCTATTCCTTGGTTTAAGAACTTCCTCATTTACCTGTGCTGATCGAGGGTAGGGCAATATCATCCACAGCAAATGACCTGGAAGAAAGTGGGGATTTTATTTCTAACTAATTTCAAAAGTCTTCTTCAGGTTTTTGAGTATTTTATTACTGTCCAGGTCTATATTTTCTGTAAAATTATAACATTTTCATTTGTAAAGGCACTTCCAGCTATTAATCCTACTTTCTGGAAGCTAAAGACTTCACATATATAATGTCTGTTGAATAGTTCTACACAAGGAAAAGAGAGTGGAAAAAAGCATGATCTCACTAGATTCACAATAAGCACAAACATTAATTTAGTAGACCTTGTGCTAAGCAAGGCAATAATCTTTTCTCACAGTTTCCTGAAATAGAAATGCTGTTGTTTTCCTGGTAAAGTAGTCAGGATCCACAGCTTCTCCTCTAATTTTGCAGATATTGATTTCCACAAATACTGAAAGATCTGTTTTGTTGTTTTTTTTTTTTTTTTTTTTAAAAAGACTGTCCATAGAGCATTAATTAACATAAATGTTAACCTTACATCTATTAACAATTACCTTAAAGTTATGATTAACAGAACCTTTTTCAGTTCAAGAAAGCAGCATGTCCTAAATATGAGAAAATTAAACGAGTTTTAGTTTGAAGGAAAGAAGTAATCTCTGTATGTCAGATAGACTTACGCAAAGCACTCTTCCACTTCCTTCCTTTTTTCCTAAATCCAGCACCATACCAGACATTCTCAGATCTCATACCTGAACAAGTACAAAAATGAGGAGAATCATTCTTTCAGTGTGTTTGTGGAGCTGTAGGGCAAAGCTGATGTCTGAAATATTATCTTTTAAGTTTTAAAGAGAGTGTAGGTGTGAGGTTCCTTTTGTTGTGCACTATATGAAAGAGGTGCTACATAACAAATTAATTCTTGAATTCTGACTACCCTTAGCTCTCAAACAGGCTAACAATTTCTTTCCTATTAATCTCCTACAATTGCTGTCCTATTAGTTTAAGTTGGAGTTCACCATGACATGAATGGCAGAAACTGTAAGATCTGCTCCTCAGAGATTTGTAAGAGATCTTTAAAAAAACTGTAAGATCTGCTCCTTGTTAGTGCAACCTCAACTGCATGAAAAAGAGGAAAAAAAATAATCAGATAAAGCCATAATTGTATTTTTCTTTCCAAATAGCAAGTGTGAGTACAATACAATGCTAAGGAGCTGCTCCCATATTTCTCCCTAAATTCACCCTCTGCTTTTGCCTTTTCTATTTTCTTAGGCAAAAGCACGCCTTTATTTTTCCAAACTGAGTCACAGCCAGCTAAGTCTTACATTTACTATAAACTCTTTCTAACACTCATATGACTGGTGAAGATGGTCAGATCAGATGTTGAAGAACAGCAGCTTTCATCCTTCTTTCAGTGAACTTAGCTCTTTTTCCAATTAAATTGTAGATGGTAGCACATCAAATTTCTCCTTCTTGAGAATTGTCTTACTAAGTTTTCACTTCCAGGCAAAGGCCAAGGACTTGCAGGGTTTCTGGGATTGCAGATTCAAAGACACTGTTTTATAAATACAGCCTTAGTTGCTTGCAAGGTTATAGAACAATATAAGGGAAGAGGTTTCACTGGAACTTGGGACTGTCTCCAATCTCTTGCTCAGTCTGTTGATGACCATTGTCTCTTTCCTTGGAGCTATTCATGAATCTTCTCTTTGTTACTCTTTTCTGTATTCTGCCTGGCTGGAAAAAAAAAAAAAATCCCTTGTGAGTTGAACATGAAGCTTTGTTTCATCTGCAACTTTATTTTGTTGTTTTAAACTAAGCTTGTTGGATATGAGTAGACAGGAGGAGGGGGCTGGGTTTATGCTGCAATGACGGAAGAGAATTTTCTGCTTGGTGTTTAGTTTGGCCAAAGTTCTGCTGAACACTGCCAATCCCACAAGTCCTTTCTGACAATCACTCATCCCTAGATATTCCTACTGCTGTTGTAAGATAATTCCAGATTTTCAGCTGTAGACCTGGCATGTTGATCTCTTGGCTCATACTAAATGTAAGTGGCCAGATTTTCCTCTCTAAGGAAGAACTTAAGAAAGGATGGCATTTGGTCTGGCAAAATACATAGGGCTGTAAGTCTGGAATGTCTAATTCTCTTAAAGGAAGTAATAGACTTTTGAGTGTTTCAGTTAGCTGGTTAGCCAGTCAAAGGGAGCTCCTGGGTTTAGCACAGGAAGCAATCTCAGACAAAACACAACTCTAATATTTGCTTGTCTTTTTGTCATTCTCTACCAGAAATATGATTTGCTATGATGGAAGATGGAAAGGTAAACATCCATGAAGAGGTACAGTGTTAGCCTGAAACTGCCCTGAAGGCGTGAGTTTGGAGATCAAGGTATAGTTCATCATAAAGAGCAACCTAGTGCAAATTTCTGGTCTAGTAAGACTCAACTACATTTTTGTGTGTTCAAATTTGGAATTTTGAGGCTTGATTGCTGCTGTGTTTTAAAAATCATTTGCTACTTAAATGTGTTGACTTTAAAATACAGACTGTAGTAAAAGGGAAAAAAAATCTCAAAAATATTCTCCTGAGAAAAATCTAAAATCTCCAAGATATATTGTTGCTCTTCAGATATATTGTTGCTTTCTGAGTAGTCTGCAATGGAATGGAATGGATCATCTGTTTAGGCTGCATTAACGCTAATGCTTCTCAGCTACTCTCATCCCATCCTTACTGCTGTTCCATAGTTTTCACTTTATAACATTAGTTAGAAGACATTAGAAAAATGAAGAAGGGATATAAGTGATGGGAAAAGTAATCTTAACATTAATATATTCTTCTGCTAAATGTGGAAATGATTTAGGGAACTTTCATATATTTTTGTACAAAATACCTCTGCCTCTTTTCTTGGTAAGGAATTTAAGTCATCCTCTTCATACATGCTTTAAAAGAGGTGAGGGAAAATAACACATTTTATAACTTTTTAATCAGTTCAAAAACAAGAGATTCTTGTAGGTTTCAGTGAGCCAGATTGCTTTTTGTTTGCTTGTTAGTTTTTTTCCCTCTCTGTTTTTCTCTTCTCTCACTTAATTCTCAGGATTACAATAGTATTTGTTCTAGATTTTTTTTTTTTTTTTTTGGCATACTCAACCTAGGTATATAGAGTGCTTGTAGGCCTCTATATTTTGCATCCCCTTAGGTATGTAGGTTTTCAGGTTACTAAATGCCTTCATGAGAAAAATATCAAATTCATAAAAACGCAAAAAATGAAAGCTAATTTCAAGTTAATACAATGTTTCATCTTCCCTGGTATTCTGTCTGTTCTGGTGGCTAGCAGTAAATGCTGGGGGGGGGAGGAGGGGGGAGAGAAAGAAGATGAAAGGAAAGAATGAGAGTATGTCATATCTTTCCATCCTCATAGTCTGAAGTTTAGAGGTTTCTTGAATCAGAAATATGTCCAAAGTTTTCACTGTGATGATCATCTTCAAATTAATAATGTTAAATGAAAATAAATGTGTAGAGGCAAACATAGTTCATAGGTTTTATTGGACCAGTACCTCCATGAGTGGAGAACATGTTTCTTGCCAAAAGACATGGTAGCAGTGATGGAGCTGTACTATTTTCACACTAAACTGGAGTTTCATCTGGAGATGATGCTTTCATCTGGAGACAGAAATTACAGCTGAAGACATCTGGTGCCCTTGTTTTACCACAAAGAGCAAATGTCCTCAGGCTTCTTGTGGTACTTGCATGTCTTGTATTCCAACTACATTTCTATAGGAAAGTATGATTAGTAAAGAGAAAACTATTACTAATCTCAAGTAATGAAAGGATGCACTGCATACAGCAGTAGCAATCATCTATTATTCAGACCTACACTGTCCAAAAGCAGAAACCTCTGAACTTCCAAATAAGAGCAAGGATAAGACATGCAGCCCTGTATGAAATGTTGCTGCAAGTAGGAATTCTGAGGAAATTACCGCATAAATTAGACACAGACTCCACAATTCAAACATAGGTCTGCATGTTTTAAAGCTTTTTAAGGCATTGCTTTGATCATTCGATCTATTTCTCAGACATTTGAAGTTTCTCTGTAAGGCTGAATAACTCTGGCTGAAATATGTCTGTGTTTGCCACGAAGCTCATGCTGACTATGCCTGAGGTGGCTAGGATATAATTATTTGTGCTGGTTTACATAGTTCTTGTCTTGTGCAAGACAGACGTGCAACATGAGGATAGATCAGTTCTAAACTTAGAACAATGAGGTAAAGTCTTCACAGCAGATCTGCACTTTGAAAAGTAAATTTGCAGCATACATACATGTAATGAATCTAGGACCTATTGGAATGACTGTTAGCACACAGATTATGTGCATAGGCCATGGAAAGTAGGCCTGATGCATCCTGCATGTGTAGAAATCACTGCTTATTTGTAATAGAGGTTGTTTTAAGATATTTGTTGAATTCTTGACTGAGAGTTTTGGCTGCTGGATGAAAAAGAGAAATAATCAGAGAATCCAGGTTTTTGCTAGTCCCAAACTGCACACCCATACTGCCTTTTCATCAACAACTAGTTAATTTGGAGATAACTCCACTGGCCTTACCTGCTACTGCCTGCCTTATAGAAACATACATGTGTGTCTTAGGACAAGTTTCAAGGAGAGAAGGTGCAATCTTACCCTATTAGACCTTGAGCTGTTTGATCTTATACACAACTGGCTAGCTTTCCTGGCTCTGCTAGAAGATGAAGAAGAGCTAACAAAGAGCTAACAGTTCATTTTGTTCCAGCTCATAGGAAACATTTAACATTTTTTATTTCTGTCTTATGCCTGACTGATTACAGTAAGGAGAATTAGTATTCTGGATCCCACAGATACCTTGGGATTTTTGCTCTACAAAATACGCATGGAGCTTTTCCATCTCTCCTGCATATGCCCATCCTTCCTTTCCTCACACTCCAATTTAACACCTGTGTATTATGAGTTTGAACAGCTCACATGACCTGCTTAATTTCTGGGAAAATGAACAGAGAGCTTGGCCTTTCAACCTATTGCCTCAGTATAGCCTAGCTACATGCATTACAAACAGGATTGTAGTGCTGATGGTACTAGATAATGATCCAATACATCACTTCCAGCACCCTGGGATGTCACTTTTGATTGTCCTACTTGGCCTTTGGCTGCCCTTGTGTAAATATTCTACACAATTTGAACTGAGTAACTACGCAACCTCATATCAAAGATGTGATGTATTTCTGACATTTGTTCACTCAGAGGGCAGTGAGGCCCAGGAACAGGTTTCCCAGAGAACCTGTGGATGCCCCATCCCTGGAAGTGTTGAAGATCAGATTGGATAAGGTCCTGGGCAACCAGATCTGGTGGCTGGCACCCCTGCCCAGAGCAGGGGCGGTTGGAATTAGGTGGTCTTTAAGGTCCCTTCCAATCTAAGCCATTCTATGATTTGTAGTAAACATTACAGACTTCAAACAGACTCGATGTCTTACCTTATATAACTGCTCCTCCAAACCCATTTGTTTTTGGTAATCCTACACTGTAATTTACAATTAGCAGCATAAATGATTTTTTTTTTTAATAGTAAATTTTATAGGCATTTTTGCTTTTGCTCTCAAGAGCCTCTGCAGAGTTAAATTTGCAATGTTAAGTACGTTGTGTAAACCACCACTTGCCAATTTGCTGTCAAGGGCAGATGATTTGTTAATAATAAATTCTTTTTGTAGTATAATAAATTATTTTCATTGTGTCAATCTGAAAAAAAGTCAAGATTTTGTTTATCTGAGAAAGAAATTTTAATAATGTATTTGATTTATATGCTAATTGAACTCGAGTCTACATATCAGTGGTAATTTTTGCATTATTCTATTTCCAATAGAAAATATTAATTTTCTTCCTAAGACAAATTCTAACCCCACCCTTTCCATCTGAATAACTGGCAGAACCACTAGCTATGTGTGGAATTTTATAAGAGAGAAGGAGTTTACAATATAAACCCCTGAATATTATCACTAGTGAGAAAATGGCTGAAGGAGCCTTAATGTCTCTTAATAAGAGGCAGAAGTTAAAGGACATGTTATTACAGTTTATAGTGAAGATTTTAATTGGATATGCATTGTACATAAGTCCATCAAGGTATGAATCATATAGGACCTGTGTTGGAATACCAGTTCTGTGATGATGAATTGTTTGAAGAATTGGGATGAAAATACATATATTTATTTGATTCTTCATGCCACTGAACTGAAATAAACAGCACTCTCAGGGTCCACTAGTATAACCTTCTCTAATTTTTATAAACTATGGCTATCAATCAACACCCTACAACCCCAGAGTCTGAAGAAAGGTCAAACTGGAATCCAATTTTGCTGGTGAAAAATTAGTTGCTCAGAATTATCACAGAAGGCATATCTACACTTTCATATTTTCCCCCTCTTCATTCACCATTTTGTGGTCCAAACAGTAGAGATACTAGTCTATAGTTGGGATTCTTTCTGCAACGACGTAGATAGTTCCCTCACAAAGCTGCTAATATTCAGGAAAGGGAGAGACTGTGCAGTGTGGGACTGAACTATTTTTTCCAGGGATAAGAAGGTGATGGTGTGATGGCTGCAGATAAGAGGGGTAACCAGCAAAAGCAAATTCAGCAATAAAGCTTAGAATTTCATCTCAGCAATAGCAGATGTATTTAATAATGACCTCTGTCTAGATTTATGTAGCAACAGGATGTGTTTTCAAAAACTTTTATTGAGGGTCTACCTTTTTAATGTTATTTTCTCCAAGTTCTAATTCCTCTTTTAACTCCACCCATTGTCTTACTACAAATTGCATTGTTTTTGTTAGGAAAACTTAATTTCATTTGTAGAAAACATGATGGGCAGTTCATCTATGGTTAATATAGTATTTACTATTTCATTTGTGTGTATGGAAACCATGTAATTACAGAAAGTTGCAAATACAAACACAGACGTTTGTATCACACAAATATATTTTAACTGCTGGAAAATATTTTAACAGGACACAGACTCTGCATGCTGTTAAAATGAATCAAGCAACATGAGAATCAGTAGAAAATACTGATGTGTTTGTTAAAAAATTAACAAACACATTTCTGGCAACAATAATTCAATCAAGCAGTTGATGAAATTCAGTGTTTGTGGGATAATATTACTTCACTAAGAAATTGAACAACTCACCATTAATCTCAGGACTGTAACATAACGTTTTTAATATAATATTATGAATGGTTTATGCATCATATAAGGAAAAAAATATGTTTTCAGACAATGATGGTTATTCATCAACTTGTCTAAGCTGTAGTCAGATCATGTGTAGAGATGTAACATATTTACTAAAAGCTCACAAATGCTGATAGAAACCATTA